ATACTCGGGAAATCAGCCCGCCCATGTCAGCGTAGCCAAGTAGCGAACAGAGAGGCAAACCAATCCAGTCAGTCCCGAGGTGGTTGTTGTTTGCGGCCGGCGAAGCCTTCCCCATCGAGTAGTGGGGACGGTGGCTAGGTGGCCGCGGGGCAGCAAATGACGCACGGCTGCTGGCTTTGGGCCGCGAAGGGAAGGGAAAAAAAAACAGCGAAAATCGCGGTAGCCTGACCAGACCACTGACAATCAGTTGCATGAAAAACTTCATTGGCTTTGCAACAAACTCCAACAATTCACTGTATATCCGATTGAGGCTCCTTCGTCCAATCTCTCCCCTCTGCAAGACAGCCCATCTCACCCCTCTGTACCCACCACCTTCTTCTCTCCACACACGCCAATACTGCAAGATGCCTTCGATTGAGCACCCCACCATCAAGGGTAAGAACAACCCCAAGTAAATACATAGTATTACGCTGCTCCGCCCCCTCGACAAAAGAAGAACACAATGGTCACGGCACAGTAATTGACAAGGCATCGTGCAGATGGCTGGTTTCGCGAAATCTCCAACATGTGGCCCGGCCAGGCCATGACGCTGCAGGTCAAGGAGGTGCTTCACCACGAGAAGAGCTTGTACCAGGATATCCTCATTTTCGAGTCAACCGACTACGGCATGGTCCTTGTGCTCGACAATGTGATCCAGTGCACCGAGCGGGATGAGTTCTCGTAGGTTCCGCCATGCGCAAACACCCCCCCCAAAAATAGGGCTGATGATGAGGGGGCAGCTACCAGGAGATGATCACCCACCTGGGTATGAACGCACACCCCAACCCCGAGAGGGTCTTGGTCATTGGCGGTGGTGACGGTGGTGTCCTTCGTGAGATCGTCAAGCACGACTGCGTCAAGGAGGCCGTCCTCTGCGACATTGACGAGGCCGTCATCCGTCTCTCAAAGCAGTATCTGCCCGGCATGTCTGTTGGCTTCAACCATCCCAAGGTCCAGACCATCGTCGGCGACGGCTTCAAGTTCCTCGAGGACAAGAAGGGCCAATTCGACGTCATCATTACCGACTCTAGTGACCCAGAGGGTCCCGCCGAGGCCCTGTTCAAGAAGGAGTACTTTGAGCTCCTCAATGGCGCGCTCCGCGAAGGTGGTGTCATTACCACGCAAGGTTGTAAGCCCCATCCTAACCCTCAGCCCTGCGATTGACCTGCAGGGGCCACTCATGCACCGGACAGGTGCTTGTAAGAGTCTTTGCTAATATCACTCCATGTAGCTGAGAACCAATGGCTTCACATGCCACTCATCGTCAACCTGAAGAAGGCATGCAAGGAGGTCTTCCCCACCGTCGAGTACGGATACACCACCATCCCCACCTATCCCTCGGGTCAGATTGGTTTCATGGTCTGCAGCAAGGATGCCAACCGCGACCTCAAGAAGCCCCTCCGTAGCTGGTCTCGCGAAGAGGAGGAGCAGCTCTGCAGGTACTACAGCAAGGAGATCCATGAGGCAGCCTTTGTGCTTCCTACCTTCGCGCGCAAGGCTCTTCAATAGGCGTCCGGCCGAGACTCTCCTTCTGTTACGACCAAAAGATACCATATTGTGTGAACGACTGTCGAAACCAGCGCCACAGCTGCATTGAGCAGAGCCAAGCAGACACTGCTGGCAGAGACTGGGGACCGAACATTTTCGCCATAGACAAAATATTTTTTACCGATTTACGGCCAGTTATGATCAATGAATGGAATTGGATCACAACTCACTCACGCGCCGAACAAATGTGGTCTTTACTGAACTAGTAATGATTGACGGATTGTGACCAGCACTGACATTGGCAGCCTCACATGACACTAAACAGCTAACCCATTGCAAGACCTGTTCAAATCGACGATGACGGTGATGCCGGCCATGATGGACGACTGGGAGTGCAGATACCTAGGTGGTCGACAAATCGCAAAGGATACTGTCTTTCCTGGATCTACGCGAGCAAGTTTCGGCAGTTTCAGAATGCCAAGCAACTTTTGACGAGTTCAGCGGAAAACTGACATGTCTCAGGAATTCCACAACAACCCAGTGACATGCGTGAGTTTCATCATTTAGCCTCAGGCGGGAACAGCCTTGCTCTCGACTGGGCGGACACAAAGTGAGCCCACCTCTGGCCACTCTTTGATTAGCCACGCGCCGTGCCGTGCCGGTTTCCCTAGCCTATCTTGATGTTACAATTCTCCATAGTGGGAGGTATGGTATCTGTGTATGATATCTGTGGGGTTTCGGTTGGTGCGGCACAGCGGTCAATGCCGCAGGACCCCTTCTAATGGCGAAGTTGCGAGTTCAGGTATATCGCAAGGAGAACGCTGTTGAGCCCAAAGTCAACCTCATGGTGCGGACCAGAGTTCTCTGGAAGGATCTAGTTGACCAGTCCATATTTCAGAAGAAGAACTAACCATACCAGTTCTCTTTCGACCCCCAATGATCGATGTTTTATGCAGCATTCGGATCGATTGAAGCGGCCCACGCTGCTTCATCGTTGACATGTTGGCGCTCAATCCGTAGCTACGTCTCCATTTTCAGATCAAGATAGCATTCAGGTAGCCTGGGCGGCGACTATGCCCGTCCCAAGCTTTGCCATCTGCCTACTTTGTGGGACTGCAAGGCGAGGGGTCGGTTGTTAGAAGCACTTTCTTCGAGCAATCATCGAAGATTGCCAAAGACAGAAAATCAGGGGAGGCCCTTACCTTGGGAAATGCACGTCAAGTTGACAGGACCCTGTGGGCCACTGGTGGCGTTCGCGATTGTACCGAGACCATGGAGAGACGAGGCTCGTTCTATGTTTGGTCGTCGCTCCGGCAAAGACCCACGAGTTTGTAACGCCACGGGTGTCACGTTGGTCCGCGGGGCCAGCGCACCAAGAACTGGCAATGGCTTCGTTTGAAGCTGGCGCGTAGGATCGTGAGGTGGCTCTGCACGAAATGGCGGTGGCAGAGTTGCTCGTGCACGAAAGTGAATATGTATAGGCCCGTCGTGAAATGCCGAGTGTTGGTTTGAAGCATCGCAACTCTCGCTTTCCTGTTTCGCACCTTTCTGCTTTTCCTTTGGCACGCGACCTGTGGTCGTCTCTGTCACATTTGGTGTTTTCCTTTTTCGTTGTTGTAATACGCTGAGCCGGACTCTTCAATCACGATCTCGCCAATCTTCACAAAGCACGCTTCGCAGGTCCCGCCCGCCACGTCAAAACTGTGCCTCACAGGTACCGACAGCCATCATCCATCACCGAAATCTCTCGACTCACGCCCATGCAATAGCCACGTTCACACATTTTTTCTTGTGGCAATACTTTACTTGCCTGGGGCAATATTGTTAATACGATTGAACCGTCAGGCCACGTTCTTTCGCTGTACATAGTTTTTCGCGGGTAGCCCTTGGAACCCGTCATATCTTTGGTTGCATACCGTACCTACATACGCCAAGGTCCGCAAGCAGTAATTGCACAAGATTCAGCCGCCATCTACCGATCCCAGCCAGGCGTACCTGCAGGAAAGGATAATCTAAAAGCAAAATCACGATGTGTAGCTGGATCGCCTCCGAGGATGGGGAGCCGTTTAGTCCGGCGAAGATACACCCGCTTCTGTCCCCACCAGCCACCAAGAGTTTCTCCGACGTTAAACCCGTCGATGCCGACCCCATAACTACTGGTCCCACAATCTGCCCTGGATCTCCGCAGCCTTCACAGACGAGCGTCCACTGCCTGATAGAGACGCCGTATAATGTTTCAGCGATAGCAGCGCCTGCACCTGGCGATGCGCCGCCTTCCACAATCGCAGTTGAAGCCGAAGCCCTGCACGCCTATCTGACGTCGGACGAGTCGGTCCCGCTGGAAAAGGCTGTAGACATAAGCAAGTCGTCGTCGATTGAGAATCTCACCAGCCTGCCGCAGGTGGCCTCGTTTGGCGAGCATCGTATTCGCAAACATCGAAAGAACGCCTGCTCCATCGATTCGGCCATCCCCCGCCAGACACTGCTCAAGGCCTTGCAGTCACGGCCGCCTACTTCGGCGATGAGCATGGATACTGTCATGATGGAGGGTACGGCAGCAGGGCGCAAGACGGAGCGGTCCAAGAGCATCAACCACCAGCGCCTTGCCGAGGCCCTCTCCGACCTCAACCTGTCCTCCGACTATATCTCCATTAACAAGATGGCTGCGCTTGCGTCTCCATGCTTCTTCCACAAGAAATTCGACAAGGCCGTCAACCTTGGCAAGGTGCTCGAGGAGATGAACGACGATGACACGATATCGCACTCACGCCTCATGCAGACTGCCTTTAGCGTGCGCGAGGTCTCGAAGCAGCTCCAGCGCCGGCCCATTAAGATGACGGTGCGCAATGTCATGATTGTCACCAAGGCACGCGACAACGACCTTGTCTATCTCACGCGCGATCTTGCAGAGTGGCTGCTCACCACCTCGCGATATGGCTCAGACGTCGGCGTTAATGTGTATGTGGACCACAAATTACGCAAGTCGAAGCGCTTCGATGCTCCTTCCCTGATTGCCAGAGACAAGCGTTTCGAAGACATGCTCAGATGGTGGACACCGGATCTTTGCTGGGAAACCCCTGAGATCTTCGACCTCGTCCTCACACTCGGCGGTGACGGCACCGTCCTCTTCACATCCTGGCTCTTCCAGCGCATCGTTCCCCCAATCCTCTCCTTCTCTCTTGGCAGCCTGGGCTTCCTCACCAACTTTGAATTTGCTCAACATCAATCCGCCCTCAACAAAATCATGTGTGAGACAGGCATGCGCGTAAACCTGCGAATGCGCTTTACCTGCACCGTATACCGATACCAAAAAAACGCCGCACCGGGCTCACCCACTCACATTGAAGCCGAGCAGTTCGAGGTGCTGAACGAGCTCGTCATAGACCGTGGCCCATCGCCCTATGTCTCCAACCTCGAGCTCTACGGCGACAACAACCTCCTCACCGTCGTCCAAGCCGACGGCGTCATCTTCTCCACTCCCACAGGTTCAACAGCCTACTCGCTATCCGCCGGTGGCTCCCTCGTCCACCCCGACATTCCCGCCATCCTCCTCACCCCAATCTGCCCACACACCCTCTCCTTCCGCCCCATGCTCCTCAACGACAGCATGCTCCTCCGCATCGCCGTACCCATCCGCTCCCGGGCCACCGCCTACTGCGCCTTTGATGGCAAGGGCCGCGTCGAACTGCGACAGGGCGATCACGTGACAATTGCAGCCTCGCAATATCCCTTCCCCACGGTGTTGTCACAGCCCACGGAGTGGTTCGACAGCATCAGTCGTACCCTGCGCTGGAACTCGAGGGGCGCAACACAGCAGGCTTGGGTGGGTGATGAGAATGGCGAGGGCGAGGAGGAAAAGGAACCGGATTTTGATATCGATTTTGATAATGAGGATGTGGATGATTCGGGGTATAGTGCGGAGGGTTCGACGGTAGATGGTAGGGGCAGTCCACAGCGCAAGGGCAAGGTATTACCGTTCCTATAGCCTTCCCCTGTCGTAGTCTTGAAGACTTGGAATAGGTGACAAGAGGGGTGTTCTTGTTGCTTCTTGTGGTGCTGGTCCTAGTGCCCAGCTTTCCAAGGGACATCGCTGCTTGGGCGGGTTCCCCAGTGCTTTCAAACTCATTCAAGAGTATTCCACTCTTTCCATGTTGGCAGTTGGCGTAGGCTGGCCTCGTAACCCCCTTTTTTTCCCCTTCCCTCTGGCTACTACAGCTACTGATGGATTGGATTGGCGCATCGTTTTTTCCCTATGTAGCCAGTTTGCGCTCTTGCGCTGCATACCGTTGCGCTGTCGCTATGGCTCACTTCCAACATGAACTCAATTAAATCGCCAACTCTTGCTTTTTTGCCCCTTTCCTTCTTGATACGTGTCAGCGGCTGGGAATTGCGGGAACCAAGTTGTACGCTCGTGATATCGCTGGATTGTAAATGTCTATGCCATGTTGTTTGGCGTGGTGACTGCTGTGGCTCTTTCCTTTTTCCGAGCACCCAAAGACAAAGTTTCTCAGAATAAGAGCCACCCTTTACTTTACGACCTGTGGTAATGATACATCTTGCACCCAACCCCAACATGCCCTCCGTCAGCCCCCAACACCACATGCCGTGTTCACTGAATTCGTCCCCTACCAAGCTAGAGAGCCAAACGTAAAGTGCACACAGCCTCCATCTCGCTCTTCTCGAATACGTTCAAGTCTTTTCTTAGAAACGCGTTTAGATCTTGCTTTGGGGTTGTTCTTGCATTGTGGAATATTGAGGGAGCAAGGGAGTCGGCGGCTCTGTTGTGTTTCATGTATTCAACAGCATGGCGCGCTTCCGAAAATATCATGCAGTGACGGGTGAATACGAAGCATGTACATGGACAGTCAATTCGTCTAATAGTGTCCCTAAAGACCGCCACCCTAACCGTGCCTAGATGGCGATAGAGAAGGGTTCTCGAGAGCGTTTTCTGAGCTTTGAGATGGACATGGAGTTAGGTTCCAAGTATACCGCAAAGCCTACCACCAGTACGAGATCATGTTCAAAACGACTAAACCTGCTGCCCATCTTCGATTTCAGCACCACGCAGACGAGCGTCCATGGTCTCTTCTTGTGTTCCTTCTGCGCTCCTTGATGTACTTCCTACTCGATGCTCAGCCTCACCATCTTGCGACGAGTTTATTATTCGAGTCAGCTACGAAACCCTCGGCAACACAGCGTCGTTGCAGGTGGAAGAGGCATTCGTGGCGTCAAACACACCCCCACGTCGCGAGGCATCAAAGAAGTCGATCCCGGATTTTCAAATCGCTGCTGCCGCAATATAGCCTCCTGGTATAGCTGGTGTGACATGCATGTGCGTTCACGAGCTGTGAGCACTTCGAACTGAGCTTGTATCAGACTGTCGAGATGAGGCCGAATCCACTTTTCTAGATCTCGCAGCATGCAAGGTGGTGGACTCGGTACCGGTATGGGTATTCTAGCTAAATAAACAGAATTAGTAAATTTTTAGATAAATTAGACTGTTAGCTACCCACTCGGCTGCTTTGCCCCAGTTGGTCCAAGAATGATGTTCTCACTATACCGGTACTGCCCCTTTTCCCAATCCCCCTTTGTCCAATAGATTTTATCAGACCAACAAGGAAAGCCAAGAGTCATGTACCGGTAGTCTTCAATCAAAAGCAGGCCTGGCTCGCTGCTTGTTTGTCTCGTTTGAGATTCATCTCACTTTTCTGCATATCTAGAGGCACGGATATTTTTCGTCTTCATTGGTCAATACTCTGGCGACTCTCGAATCAAAAAGGTACAAAACAAATCGGCCTCATCCCAAGTCCAGGCCAGGCCAAAATACAACGCGCTGAAAATAATGATTATGCAAAGGGCGCCGAGATGTCAAACACATCCACCAATGCATTCCCCCCAAGCTGAAATTATCCCACACATCAATTCGTCCGAGACCAAAAACACATCAAACCAATAACTCATCCCCCATCAGAATCCCGCCTATCCCCATTCCAAGGCCCACAAAGTAGCACAGGAAACTGCAACATCTCCCGCCTCTGCTCATCATGTACACGGCCAACCCGCATTAGAGCCACCATTTGCTCCCCCGATTCCCCCACAATCTTGTTGTTTCATTACATTCCGACATGGCAGATCCACAGGGCCACCGCTTCAACCCATGAAAACCCTTAAAAAGAATAATACACCAAGAACAAAGCCGTCCTATGTCAAGAAGGTGGCGTAGAAGGAGGAATACGACGCGGTATCCGCGTACCTCTTTGCACTGTTGAAGGAGTTTCCCTTCCTCGACCAGCTCCAGGCCGCGCACCGGTACGCAACGGAGTCAGCGGTGTAGACGGCGGTCCCGCTTCCGAAGCCGAAGTGAAGAGATGTGAGATGCGGGAATAATCAAAGTCTGCAAAGAATGGGTTTTCTTCGTTTGAGAAATAGGAGGGACGGGCAGGATCGGAAGCGTTTAGGGCACGGATTCGGGCGTCGAAGCGGCGGGTTTCGGAGTCTGTTGATGGGCTGTCTGATTCATCGGCTTCGTGCTCGTGGGTTTCGTATTCGGCCTCGTCGTCGTCGTCGTCGTCGTCCTCTTCATCTTCGTCTGCCCAATCACCCTCGCCGTCGATATCCTCCCACCAAGGAATTTCCGGCGCTTGCGGATCGCGGAGCGCAGGTAGGAGACTGGGTTGCGGATCGGGCACATAGAGCTCGCAACGGCAATTTGGGCACGTTCCCCGCCGGTCGCCGTTGCGTGGCGCGCTGCGATCGAACCAGGGGATGATGCACTCGGTGTGGAACATGTGGTTGCAGGCATGGAGTCTGACGACGTCTCTGAGCAGGCGCTCGAGGCAGATGGTGCAGTTGACTTGTACTTGTGCTATGAGGATCCGGGATGAGACGCGCGTTACTCCAGTCATGTAGAATTCTGGTTGCGTGCGGAGGGGTGCGGTGGTGATGGAGGGTGTAGAGTTGTGGTCTGAGGTCTGCGTTGCGGAAGATGTGTTCGTGGAAAGATTGACTCGGGACATTGTGACTGTGAGTGGATCCAGGGACCAGGGGAGTTCTTCATTCTCTCCTTCTTCCACTTCTTCCTCCTCTTCTTCCTCCTCCCTCTCCCCCTCCTCTCCCTCCTCCAGCTCCTCTTCCCATTCAGCACTCCACACCATCGGTAACTCGAACCCAACCCCGCCACCCCACACAGTCTCATTCATATCCGCATACTCCATATCTCCAAAATTGCCCAAGTACCCAACTTACCCCGTTCCCCAGAGCGCGAGCGACCTATCCAGCGTGAAACAAGCGTCATTGTTTGCGCCAGCCAAACATCCACCTCTTATATATGGCATACCTATTCACCCCATATCCCTCAGCGCTATTCTGCAGCGCGCGCAAGCACATTGATCAAACGTTGCTTCAGGACATACAAGCCTGCATAAGCCCGTAACAAACTCTGTGCCTGGGAGGATGGCTGCATTTGTGGCGAGATGTGTGGGCAAACGCCATACCAGCAGACCGGTATGACAAGCCTGCACAAACTGTAACCCTGGGGGAAGATGGGGCCAGTAAATCATACACAACATCCCAACCCACCCCTTTCCCCGTCCACACACCAACCTCCCTCAACGCAACACACTCTACCATATTTCTCCAGACAGCATAGCCGTTTTCCAAACGGTCATTGTCGTTTGCAGCGTTGGGGATGACGAGCTAGACTGATGGCGAGGCATGGAAGCGGGTTCTTTTTTTGGGCGTAGCACAGGGGGGACACACCGACCTAGGAATATGCAACTTTTCTATTTCTCTGCGATTTTGTACAGACATGGCCCTGTCAACTGCTCGTAGAACATCTAGATTGAGGGGGAGAGAGGGAAAAAGAAAGGAAAGGAAGGAAGGAAGAAAGAAAGAGAACACACAACGGAAATGAAATTGAAAATGACCCACGAAATTCCTCAACGCCAAATCCCAATGCAACCCCCCTCCCCAACACCTCAATCCACAACCCCCCAATCCTCACTCCCACCCCTCCTTCTCCTTCGCCGGCGTCCCCAAAACCCCCAAATCCGCACCCCTTCCCTTCCGCCCCTTCCTCCCCATCACCTCAATCGCCCAATCCATCAACTGCCACGCCCAACTGCCCGCCACCATGACCCCACTAATCACATTCACGAGGCGGACGAGCAGCCGCCAAAACCCGCCCCACTCCTCGACCACATTCAGCATAATCGGCTCAATGTCAAACTTGACAAAGACGCCGGGGACGTAGTACTCCGAGACGGGGTGCGACTGCGACGTGACTGCGTATTGGTTCGTCTTGACGGCGTGGGCCGAGTTGAACAAGTCTGGGTTTTTGCCGTAGCGGTTGAGGATGTCGAGGTAGGGGATGAGGGAGGGGTCGTCGGTGTAGATGGTGGGCACGATGGAGAGGAAGTATTGGAATTTGTAGAAGTGGTCGTCAGGGGTCGGGGTGATGGCAATGGTATTGTCGAGGGGGTTGGTGAGGGAGGGGTAGTAGGGGCCAAAGGAGAGTTCACGGATGATGTGGGAGAAGTTGAAGGCTGTTGTGGGTTAGTGTCAGTACAGTCTGCATCCCTCGGTTCTTGTTGCTACGCGTGTGCTTGTTTGACGGTGTTGGCTGAGTTTGGGTACAACTTACTCTTGTGATCCAAATGCACGCCATACTCAATGTATCCGTGTCCCCTGGCTGTGATGTGGAAGTCTCCTTGCACCTTGTTGCCCTCGATGCTCCCAAAGATTCTGCAACTATCCGTTTCTCCCCTCACCCGCGGTGTCTTGCTGAACTTTCTCTTCTTAGCCTTGCCCAACTGCTCGTGTACATCAAATTCTTCCTCCCAGCCCGGCGCGCGATCCTCTTTCCCCTTGCCTAGCTCATGTGTGCCCCACTCAAGATTCTTGCCCGTCCACTGGCTCCAGCTGGTCGGGTCCTTGCGCAAGAGGTCACCGGCAAGTGTGCGGTCGCCGGCAGCATCTTGCATATTGACGTGAAGATCAGCGCAGCGCATATGTACAATGATGTCGAGGTTGAGCTGCATGTCATGGGACACACCCTTCTCAACGGAGAAGGTCTGCGTTGTGGTGCCAGCCATCCAGCGGGAGATCTCGGACCAAGAGAGGTAGAGACATGTCAGAATGAGCGTGGCTGTCCAGCCAGAGGAGTTGCGACCTTGGACGAGGTATGTTTTCTTTGTTTTTGCTGGTAGGAACAGTCAGTGTGAGGTTCCAGGTGCCTGTGGTGCTACATGAGATCTGCTTGCTGAATCGCCAAGGCTTCGTCTGTCTTTGAATAAAGTCGCGAACTCTGAGACTGCTCGTTCTTCGCCTGCCATGAATTCTCTGACCGCCAAAGAAAGATCACTTACGGAAAGCATCAAAACTGGACACGATGCCCCCATTCGCAGGTCCAAACGCATCGTCGCCATGCTCCCTAAAGCCGTTCATCCTGAACGCTGTCTTGAAAGCTGAATGGTAAGATCCAAATGCTGCAAGGCTATTCGCAACACCAAGTTCTGTGAGCTGGACGTGTAAGGAATGTGAGTCGCGAAAAGAGCGACGTGGCTGATTGGATTGTAATTGGCGTCGCTCACCATCGCGAAAGGCCACTTGGAGTTGCGGACCCTGGGCGGGCAATGTCCGTGCCCGCGGAAGAGGCCCGATTGGGATTGCTCCGCCACGTGCAAGCTTTACCTCAATTACTCAGAACTCTACTTCTACTATCACACCGTAGAACAGCTGTTGCATGATGAGATATAGATGAGCATGCAGACATCGTCCTGTAGACTAGCATCTCTGATACTGGAATAGTATTGTTTACTAGCTGGCCATCGCAGTGGAAAACGGACACTTTCTCATCAACCAACTACCTCAGTAGGTAGGTATCCTCGCACTGGTCAGTATTGTCTCATCCCATCCCATCCCAGCGCAACCTCAACCTCAACCCCATCCCCATCTACATAACCCCCCCTACGCAGCCTCATCCCTCGCCAGCCCACTGAACCTCCCATCCCCGCCCTTTTCCAACCCCCCTTTCCCCCCTCCCGCAACCGCACTCGCCCTCTTCGCAAACTCCAGCTCCGCCACGCGCCCGGGATCATTCTCCGTCCCAACCGCGCCAAACTTCTGGTCGCCATGTAGATTGGGATCCTCGGTTACATTGCGGCCCTTGGGCTTGTACACGCCGTTGTCGAGCTCCTGGCCCGCATATGCCTCCAGCGGGGCAATGTTGCCTTGGACAGCGTCGGCGCCGCCTGATGTGGTGGTGGTGATGCCGCGGGTGGTGCCGTGTGAGTTGACGGAGGAGCCGGGGGTGTTGTAGGTTGGACCTACTCCGGATTCGCGGCCGAGGCCCTTGGTCGAAAGGGTTGCTTCTTCCTTCCAGGATTCATGGGCTTCGCGGGCGTGAGCGTCGACGGCGGGGTCGAGGCGGGTGGCGTTGCTGGTGTCGGTGTTGTTGGTCGTGGTTGAGGCGGAGGGTTGCTGTGAGGCCGCGGCTTTGGGGTTTTCGGAGCCAAAGGAACCGTCCTTTTTGAGAGACTCGGCGGCGAGGGAATCAGAGGTTACAGTACCGACGCCTTCATGGATCGGGTTCTTGTAGGATTCGGGGTCCGTGGTGACCTGCGAGGTGAGTTAGTGATATGATGAGGGTTTAGAGACCATGGTTCAGACGGAAATTCGAAGTGTGTTGTTGCAAAATTGTATTCGTGCCAGTTGCAGAAAGCAACATACCTTCTGTCCGTGGTGAGACATCTTTGCTGTGTATAGTTTGTAATTTGAATTGGTGAACGTGATATATCTGGTGTTGCGATTGCAGTCAAAGTATCGATATTATAGCAAGTTCAGCGGGATTATTCAAGTACTACAAGTCCCCAGCCCAAATCTAAACAGGTTATACACAACTACGCTTGCGTCATATGGAGGCTATCATGAACTCATCTGTGATGACGTCAAGTATACCAACCCCGCAACGCTTCATCAAATGATTAATTAGTGTAGACTAAAGTCGAATCAGACGTGGCACCCTTCTTGATGGACTAGGGCTAGACTATGCGCGACGGGGTGCAGGGCGCTGGCGCTGGCGCTGGCGTGAAAGTTGGGGCTGAGAGCAGGATAGAGCATCGAAGATGGATGATATAGAACTAGTGGAGACACCAACAAACATCGACAAAAGATCCACAACTGCATTATCTAGAGTCCACATGAGAGAAATTTGGCATATTCAAAGAGAAACACAGAATATTGGTCATAATTCGTTCCATTGGCTGCCGTCAGGCCTGTTCTTTTTAGTCAGGGCTACCATGCCCGCAGTGACAGTATCAACCACCGATCATTATAATACACATGCAACTCCCACGTTGCAGTTTGAATTTCCAACTTCGCCAGCGATTCACAACGCCTCTGAAATCCCAACTCTCAATCAAACCTCAATCCTATCGCTTATAATCCTCGCCAGTGGTCTGCGCAAGACCCTTGTGGTCCTTCTGATTACGCGTAACAGCATCGTTGGGAATACCGCTGAGACCGTCCTTGGCCTCACGAGCCGAAGCACCAGCGTGGCCCGTCGCAGGCTCGCGCAGTGAACCTCCGCCCGAGGAGATACCGCTCTCAATCCCACCAGAACCAACGTTTACGGTACGAGCATCGGAGGAGTTGAAGTCTGAGGCGACGGGTGGCTGGTCGGGAAGAGGGAGGCCGGATTTGCGCTCGTCGACGAGCTGGGGGTCGGCTTTCTTGTCGACTTGGGTCTTGCTTAGGCCTTGTTGCGAGGATACCATTTTGGAAGTTTGTATGGTGAGCTCTAGAGGTGTCAGCATAACCATCATTTTCTAGTGCAGAAGTTCTACATCCAAGATGCAAAATATCATGCGCAAACAATTTGGAAATCTTACCTGCTTTTTGAACTTATTCGCGAGCTTTTTCGAAGTGTGTCAAACGCTCCTTTGTTGTGGAGACGTAATATTGATAGATGGATGGGCTCGTGGTGTTGGTGCTGTAAATTTATAGGTTTGTTGTGAGGAGAGCCCGCCCCACCGTGACGTCAAAACACATCGAAGATGAAAAGTTTCGTAAAGCAGGTCTGAAGTCAGAGAAACGTCACTCGACCGGGATAGTCCTGCTAGGCAAACTGTATGCTCTACCAATTGCGTCTCTATCTGTCAACTACTCTGGAATCGTCAGCTACATATCAAGGAATTCTAAAGTTTACTTGAATATTGTGGCAGCAGCCAAAACTACCAGTTTGATCATATTGTACAAAGACACGGCAAGTATACTGTTTATATGAACTTACTATCAAATTATCCAGTCTGTAGCAGTTTTGAACATGGCTTTAAAGAAAGGCGAAGAGTGAAGAAGAGCGCTAGCATAATGTCTCCCCGCAATGTCGGTACCAGCCAACATTGAGACTTCCAATTCACCGTAGTATCGAAGACTTTCCAGCGTTGTCTATGCCACTCAAGGTATCGAGGCCCAATTGAGAATGAACCAGTCTCGAAAGCGCATTGGCTGCACGTCTGGGAAGAGAGAGTTGAGGTAAGCAGGGACTGCGAAGTCGTACCGGCCTTCCGCCGTTGCCAGTAGTGCTGCTATCTGCCTCTGTCTCGTTGTTTGACCTTCAATTTGTGCAATTCCCATCTGGTACTGAAGATCTGGAAGGTCTGATAAGTATAGGTAGACAACGAGACCCAAGTCTACTTACTTGCAGAATCCTGGTACTCAATACCGGCCCATGATTGATCTGTTCTCTCGTGAGCGGGAACATTGAAAGCCATAAGAAATGGCCACTCACTCCTGCAAGCTCTGATCGTCTCGACGAGCGCATTGACACTCATTCTTTCACCGCACATGGACATCTCGGGAGCCCATGCTATATTGAGTGACCTTACCACGAATCGTGCCACGTCGTAGGCTGAAGTCAGACAAAGGTAAGAGAGATTCTGAGCAGCGTCGTATACGGGCGCTACCGAGGTCATATATCTGGGGTTTGCAATGTAATCGCCCTCCCCCCCGTACCCAGTGTTGGTGCCGATACGGTGAGACATCATCCCATTGACGGCGAAGCGCTCATATAGTACACCGCATACAAATACAGTGTACTGCATGTAGCCTTGATAGCGTTGCAAAGTAGCAATGGCAGAGTCGCGTCCACGATCGAGAATGTTCCTCTGTCCGCGGGCTCCGGGCTGGCCTTCGAATTCAGCTGGTGCGAAACGACGAACGCGGGCTTGGATCGCAGCTTCGATCAGACGAAGCTGAGGCATACCCATGACGGTGGAGATGACCGTATCAACACCCATCAATGCATGCTGAAGCGATAACGGGTCGTTGTAGTCGACTGTCGCACATTCATACCCCTGAGATATCAAGCTCATTTGGTGCTAGCCATGTCAGAAAGATCAGAAAACGCGAGAATTAGAACAATTGCGCACAGTTCGTGACAGAATGACAAGCTGATGACTTGTCGTATCGTGGATCTCTCTCGCGATTAGTAGTGCCAGGCCACATGTACCTTGTGTTGGTGGACCATGTTAGCATAATCTCTAGAGTAAGCTCTAAGGCATTAAAAGCTCACCAGCTATTGCAACACGCATATTTGGGTTTGACATAATTTGAGAATGAATAAACTCAAAGTATAAGACTTTTGAGTGTGCTCGAGGAAGTTCAAGGGTTTCGGTGGATCAGGCATCGAAGGTCTGCCTTTGAGCGTTTCACCGTAGCATGGACATTGATAATCGTGACTCACGGAGGTGGGACTTTATTCGCAGACGGTGAAGCAACGCATGGGCCTATGCGACCGATCGAAGCTACCCGTTAGAACTCCACGAAAACGCAATCCCGAAGAAGCGGGACTACAATATCCGATATTATGATATGAACAGTGCCCTCTATCCCGCCAAATCAAACCAGTCATCTCAATCACATACCGCAAGTGGCAGGAAGTCATAGCAAATGCGCTCAGGATCGCTTTTGCTTCGACCTCGGGAGGACTCAACTGCAACCATCGCCTGCAGCAATCAGGGATTCTCCGTCGGAACTGAGACCTGCAAGATTCTGACGGAAGCTGATGGTGGGTTCCTACCTGGCTGGTGACGGTTGCCTTCTTTCAGCGTCTTTGCCTATGTTGTAGGCTGTAGTGGTATGACCGGTCTTTCTGATCTGATTCGTTGGGGAAGTGGAGATGAGCGCGCCATGTCCCACCTGGCCGTTCCATGAGCGTACCGTGAGAAGATACACATCCTTGGAAGCGTGGGATGGACAACATGTACCATGAGGGGGATGTATGCTGGATCGCCCAAATGACCTCCACAAATAGTCCGCTGTGTCTGCGCATTAGCGGCGGATGTCCCGACTGAGGGGCCGTGCATCATCTGAGCTCGTTGCGTCGATTGTATTCTTGTCCAATGAGGAAAACGTTGTAAAGATTTGCAGTCCTAGTGTGCGAGCGTTCACACAAGGTCATGCACGAGGCTTCTAGTCTTGGTCAACGTCACTGTCCGTGACTGGATGAGCAAGAACGAAGTGAACGTCAAGGCTAGCCCTACGACAAGTCGCGGCTGAAGTTTTGAGATGTTCGCATGACAGAGCCTCCTCTGAAATGGTAGATGGTCGACTCGGAGCGTCATGGCTGGCCCTATCGATGAGCCTCAACGACTGGGCTGGGAAGGATCACCCAGTGCACTGGCTTGGAAATTACCTCTTGAAAGGGTTGCCAATCACTTCAGGAGGAAAAGGGACTATGTTTCGGTGGGAAACGACAAGATAGGAAAATGGGGAGCCAAGACCGGTGACGGTTAGGGCGCTTGGAAGGTTGCACGACGCCGGCCCCGATGGCCCAGAAACCAAGTCCAGGGTATTTGGACGCTGCGCGAAACCCCAAAATGAAGAAGATATCGTCCATGTGCCGCAGATGTTGAGAATTGGCAAGCCATTCGTCCAGCTCTTTATCCCCATGTCTTTTTCACTTCTAGCGAGTACCAAATTGTCTGGTGACGCTTACGTGACTGTGGGGACTTGACAGACAGGAAGAGTACGGCTGTTGGTTACAAGGCTCGTACAAAGTAGAAATCAACATGCCAGCTCTTGCTCTCCCTACCACTTCTGCCTTGAACAGAGTATCTTCACCGGTCGGTGCGGGGTTGACCGAAAGGGCCGTTGACTAACGCGATTGTCCATTGGCGCAGGTGTATGCAGAAGGTCAGATGCTAAGGAGGACAAGCAAGTGACCTCAGACTGGTGCGAAAGTCACATCTGGATTCAGATAGGGAGGGACCAGCATGGCGTACGGTGAGCGCGAGGGTTGCCAAGGGTGGGTGTAAATGCAGGCCAGATTTGGAGAAGGAACCTGGTACAGCACCCAGTGGTTGGCTGCCTAGATGATTACAAAGTGCAAAGGTGACTCCAGGGCTCGATCAGAGCCCACAGGGTCAGAAAGCTGCATGATGTGGGGGAAAGATGAAATTTTTTTTTTCGGGAGAAGCTGTAGTGTGTGGGTGTGTGGGGGTGAGAGAGAGAGAGACAGAGAGAAGACAGAGAGACAGAGAGAGATGGGCAAGGCTTGTCGGCTGTTGATGCTGTCGAGGAAAGAGCGATGATGGAAAGAGTTAGTGCATCACGTGCACACGCGTTGTCTCAGGCACGACCATGAGATGCGGCTTGGGGCGTTTTGAAGTTTGGTTCGAGTTAGGCATCTGTAGCCAAGACGAGGCCCAAGGTTTCGCGACTATACAGCTGTGGGTGATGGCGTGTCTGATGGTCTATGCAGCAACAGCTTACACGCGTTGCAAGTCTTGTACTGAGCGAGCATCCATGTTGCACGCGTAGAAACGCGTTGTTGCATGGGAGACATGGCTTGCGCGCCGATGATGCTGTTGGGTACGGATAGCCAGAGATGGCCGTGAGTCAAGTCTACTGGTATGCCTTGTGCTGGGGAGGAAAGGGAGGCAAGAGCTGTGCTGGAGTCTGCCTTGGTTTCTAGCGAAGGCTGGCCCCGAGTTTGTACCTCCCTATACCGGTAACGGTACGGTACCTACCGGTACATACCAGCTACAAGAAAGTACGCGGTTCAAGACGGGTGGATGCGAGACCATAGGGACAGTAGGCACGTACTGTAGTATCCCCAAGTTCCTGGCCAGCTCGGACCATGTGTGGGTGGGTGACACGCGAAAGTACCTACCAAGGCACCGATTCCCTCCCACCTTAGTTACTCACTTGCCCTGCCCGTACCCTACCTAGACGCGCCTCACAACACTTTTCCTGCCACCCCATTGTCCCTCGTACCCAAGGTAACTTCACCTCGTCTCTTCTACTCCCATGACATGCCCCCTTGCTTGCCAATTGATTCGGCCCCATTCACTCTTTCTCGCCTCTTCCCTCCTGCCGTGACCCAGATGGCCGCCATGTCTGCCTCGTCGCCATTGCCCTATTCGACATGTTCGCCTGCGTCATCACGCGCCACGCATCGCAGACGCTCGACTTTCAGCGGGCAGTTGGCTTTTCTCGTGCATTCGCAACAGAGCGTCGCCAACCACATGCCCCCAGATGTCGACAATAAAGCGCTTGCTCGCCAGAAAAGAAGACGCACCAGGTAGGTCTTCGTCGTCGACTTCTGTCCATCTCAAGTGCCCGCGTTCCATGTTGGCTGTGGCTCGACGCGCGCTGGAACGTGCTCGCGCGCGCCGGGATCCATTTCGGCCTACCCCGCGACAAGCCGCACCTCAACATCCCATCAGCGCTGACCACGGCACCCTGCAGCAAGGAAGACGAAGATATCCTCAAGGCAGAATATCTCAAGAACCCAAAGCCAGACAAGACGGCCCGCCTGCAAATCGTCCCCAAGGTTGCGCTTGGCGAGAAAGAAGTGCAGGTACGTATGCTACGTCCACGTCGTGTTTTCCACGTCACCAGTATGCGCAGCCCACATTGCTAACTCCCGTCCTCTATCTAGATCTGGTTTCAAAGTAAGTGTCCTCTGCCACATCTCCTAGCAGGCTGTGTGGAAGCAATGCTACAGGCAGCAGTAGCGGAAACACGATCAAGTTCCAAGAGGAGCGCTTGGGTCTGCCTACCTACCTTGGAGCACAAAATCCTGACTCGAGTTTTTTGTAGACAAACGCCAAAACGACCGCCGCCGTTCGCGACCACTAGAGCCATCCTCCTCAACAGCTTCGTTGATGTCTTCGTCATCCACCATGTCCGACCCGCCGACCGAGGACGAGACGATAGCGCGTGATATCGATAACATCCCGCACCAGCACGAGCCAGAAGTGTGCCCGAAGTCCGACCCACCAGAGCGAGCCCTGACTCCCGAGCTCACCTCGGATGAAACCATTCCTGACTTGCATACCGACGAGGCCACTGAACCCGTGAGGACGGAATCGAAAACCACGCCCAAGCCAGCCCTTCATTCCGAAACGGAGCCACAGACTGTCGAGACTGACGCCACGCACCCCAGTAATCCTCAACAGCCTGCACCATCATCGCAAGGCGCATCACAAGCCCCTACATCATGGATCTCCAATCGTCGCAGTGCCTCGTTCGTTCGGTACAGCGAGGACTATACTGCTGAAGTCATAACATTCCCTAACGCGCCCGCTAAGCCAACCGAGTCATCGCCACCAAGAGCTAGTGCTGCTACACGCTCGCTCAAGCGTAAACATTCATTCGTGCGCTTATCTACGAATGAAGATGGAACCGCACGCATCGTCACAGACCTCGACAAGACGCCTTCACCACCTCACATCAAGACCACCCCTACTTCCTTCGCCCGTGCTACCGCTGGCGTACGACGAAGCTACAGCGCAGCAGGCCTCAACGAGCGACTAGCAGCTGCTGCGCGTGGGGAGCCGAGCCCGAAAATTCCACGAACCTCCTCAAGCATAGGAAGAAGTCGCGACTCTCGCGCATGGGAGTTTTGGTGCGACCCAGACAGTCGATCCACCACAAGCCTCACAACCCGAGCGGAGCAGGAGGGAAGCGGAAGTGCAGCGGACGCAATTGGCATACTCAGGGCAAATCGCAAAATACTAGCCCAAAATCACGCTCGCCAAAACACACCTCTACGGTCACGATCGAATCAAGTACTCGGCAGCCTTGGTAGTCCAGGTGTGAAGAAATCGCGAGGCCCCATGCAACGTGCCTCTACCATCAACGGTCGCTTCTCAACCAAAGAATACAAGCAGAGTGGCGACACGACCGAGTCAGAAGAGTTGCCTGAGACAACATCCGACAAGGAGAACTGGGAGCCAGACGTGCCAAAGTCGGTACGCCGAGATCGTCAGGTCGCCGCCACACCCCCTGCGTCCCGCGCAGCACGTAAGATACTAGGCGAGAACAACGAAGTCCTATCGCAAGCATCGAGTTTAGGTGCTATGCTAGCACGAGAGAAGAGAAAAGGCGGGAAAGTCGTTTTGGATCCTGAAGAGGACGAGGAGCTGAGGCTGTTCATGGCTGGTGAAGGAAGCGGGCGTACGAGTCTCAGTTCAGCGGAGGAGGCGGGGTGTGTGGAGGGCTTGTTGAAGCTCAGTCAAGGCCAGTGGAGATGATGCTATCCGAGGGCAGCACGGCTGCTTTACCAAACTCTTTTTTCCTCTACAAACCATGTGCTTGGCGTTGGGCGTTGGGCGTTGGGTGCTGGGTTGCAGCTTGCGCAAGTGTTGTGCCAGCTCCTCCGGTTCCTAGTCATCGCATTTCCAGCGCTTGGGTGGCAGCGATTCACCAGTGGTCTAGACATCTCATCTGGTTTTTTTTTTCATAGTTTTCCTTTGTCAATCTTGCCAATCTGGCCATCAGAGGTCTGCTACGAATCTTCACCATTATCATCAACATGGGTCACCCCAAGCATGAATAAAAAAGTCACGTCACATTGGGTTTATCTTGGGTATGATTGTGTGTGTGTGTGTGTGTGTGTGTGTGTCTCGTGACTTGGGCAGGATTGGATTGGCATGGGTTGGCGATTATCATCGTTTATGACCTTGCTGTACCCAATATGTGGAATGAAACCTCCCACAGATCTACCGATCCCACCCTACCTAACCTCCACCGTCTGCTCAACAACCCCATCCCGCTTCCCCCCCACAGACCCACTATCCCGCTCCTCCCGCTCCTCCTCCACCCCCGTAATAACCCCACTCCCCTCTCCCTCAAACTTGCCATTAATCTCCTCGAGCGTAAGCCCCTTGGTCTCCACAAACGTAAAGTAGGCAATGATGAGGAAGACAAAGTTCCAGGCCGCATTGATGAAGTAGAATTTCCAGCCGAGGTTCTGCATGGCGTAGGCCATGGCGAAGGAGGCGAGGAGGCTGGTTGGAGGTTAGCGGGGCAAGGTTCGGGGGGAGGGAAAGGGGTCGAGTGGAGTGGAATAGGGGAAACGAGGGTAACGTGGCGGGTGAAAACTTACCCAAAGCCAGAGTCAAGCATGCGAAAGATGGCGATGCCCGTTGCGCGTAACTTGAACTGCGAGACCTCTGTCGGATACAGACTAGTCATGGGCGTGATGGAGAAGGCATAGAACCCCTGGAACAAAAAGATGACGGCAATAGTACCGTAAATTCCCGATGTGTTTGTGCTTTCGCCGTACGCTTTGTCCCATGGTCAGCATCTTCCCCTGCGCTGTGGACTCGAGCTTGGGAAATAGGACAGGAGACGTACTTTTGATGAGACCGCCAATCATCAGGAGTGTGACGACCATGCCGCCTACCCCGATAAAGGTCTGCATCCTGCGGCCGAGAACGTCGAGCATGAAGCTGCCGAGGACGGCGACGGCAAAGGACCAGCAGTTTATGATGACTTGGACTTGTGTCTGAGTTTGTGTTTTGGTGATGCCAGCCTGCGTCAGGATTTTGCCCAGGTAGAACCTATTTCCGACTTCTGTCAGCCTCGAACACTTCCGGATGGCACATCCAGTTGTCCCCCCCCCCATACAACACAAAAGGCCAACCTACGAGATGATGAAGTTTCCAAACATATTAATCATGGGCCCAAACGTACACAGAATGGCCAAACGCCTTCTGTTCGCCTTTGTCGAAACAATTTCCCGCCACGGATTGCGTGGAAACTGCTTCGCCTCTGCGCGAATCGTCGCCCGAATCTCCATCAACTGTCGACTTCCATCTTGCACATTCGTATTCCGTTCACCCTGCATAATCACCAACACCTCCAACGCCTCCTCATCCCGCTCCCGCGCAATCAACCACCGCGGCGACTCAGGCACAAACGGCACAATCGCCGCAGCCAGCAAACTTGGCACAAACTGCAGCAAAGACGGCAACCGCCACGCCCACGTACTCGCAATATTCTGGCTCCCGTAGTTTACAATCGCAGACGTCAGGCTGCCGACGTAGAAGCAGGAGAAGAAGAGGCCGAGGACGCGGGCGCGGTTTCGGGGCGGGAGCAGTTCGCCCAGAAGGGTGGGGGCTGCGCCGTTGCTGATGGCAGAGCCGATGCCGACGATGATGCGGGCGATGACGAACATGGCGACGTTTTGGGCGGCCGCTTGGAGGATGATGCCGATGATGGAGACGAGGGAGGCGACGTAGATGGCTCGGCGGCGGCCTAGGTAGTCGGGTACTGGTTGCATGAGGTAGGAACCGATGATGCCTCCCATCCACATGGCCGCGTTGTTGAGGCCTTCGGTTGCCGTGTTCAGATGGAAGTATTCCGAGTAGGAGGGGAGAATGAGGAGTCCGTTCATCACTGACGAGTCGTAGCCCAACGTCTTTATATTTTTCCCCGTCAGTATTCTTCATCTTCGTCCATTCTGCCTGGAACGGTGTCTGGCTTGGGGAAAGCGTTTGGAACGTCTTACCGCTGAGTTGACAATAGTCACTGCCAAAAGTAAAGGCATGAGGATCCTGTGATCCGCAGGGACGAGCTTCGAGACATGCTTGCGCTCAAACTTTGCCGCCATGACACTTGCTAGCGGACGGTGCTCTAGTTAAGGATACAAGATCAATTCTTGAGAACGAGCGGAGCACCCAGCGAAGTGGGGGGGGGGGGGTATCACACTTTAGAAACTACCTAGTAACGAGGTAGATGTGATTTCCAGACATGACATCCACCACGAATCCCCAAAGATCATATACTTCGCCATATACCCATCTCCACGTCTATCTTTACCGTATTCTTATCACTCCCAAATCCCCAGAGAAATGCCGATTAGATTGGCGCAAGATAACCCACACCCACTCAATTCCTGCACTTGTACAGATATCGGCCCGTACGCTCTTGTATCCTGTTTGTCAATGTTGTCCCAGCTCGGCCAATCAGTAAAGACGTTATTATCCCACCGTCTCGCTTACCGCGAGAAGCTAAAGCCTGGCTCACAAACTAGTAGTCAGAGATGGGATCGTTGGGGGATGGCGCGGGCTAAGACTTCCCGAACTGGGAGCTTGGGCAGAGAGACTCGCCCGAGCTCGACCGAGTGGACCCACTTGGGTGTAGATTACTTCCCCATGATTTTCGCGGGTGTGGAGTAAGTGCGTGTTGGGGGCTCAGATGACATGTTCACTCGTTGAACAGGGGGGTTTGTGACTTTGCCCTTTTTCCTTGAATGAAAGACTTCATATGATTGCATCTTCCTTTTCCAAGACGCTACCGGTACTGCTACAAGAAACGTGGATAGTTCCCGGTACCTAGCCTTCTCATTCCCCTATTACTGAACGTCATACCGGCAAGCATTCCTCCTCAAACTATGCCTGCGACTACACGAGAGTGGCCTGCATGGCCCGAATTCACTGCTCAGGACGCTGAGAGTACAAAAGACCCTGATTTCCTCTCGATAAAGAAGAGTCTGATTGCAGAATACGGAGCCGAAACACTGCGTCAAAGCTGGATCAAAGTGTGTCGGGAGCTTCAAGTGGTCACCAACGAGATATTGGAAAAGGGAAACGAGATCATTCCCATCTTCGACACAGCCGAAGTAATCTCCAAAGGCTTCACCAGCAGCCAAAAGGCCGAGATACAGCGTATCGGCGCCTTCATCTGTCGGGCCACGATCCCAGAGACCGAGACAGACACGCTGTATCAAGACATGACCAAATATGTCGCCGACAACAAGGCCTCTATCCAGGCCTGGCCCAAGGAAAGTCCCAGCATGTTGATTCTATACAATTCACCCACCCAAATCAAAATCCGTTCAAACCCCAACCACCTCATGCTCCAACGCAAGCTAAACGAGCTCTGGCACGGCTACAACGCCGCGGAGCACACCTCACCCGAACCTCTAGCCTACCTCGACGGTCTTCGCGATCGGGCACCAGGTCAACCGTTCCTAGGACTGGGACCGCACATCGATGCCGGTAGCTTCTGCCGCTGGGCCGATCCCGCATATCGCAAAGTCTACGACAACATCTTCCGCGGTAGACCAGAGGCTCACGATGCATTCGACATTGGGCTGCGAAAAGACGCCGACCAGGAGCTGTACAAGGCCATGGCACACTCGACCGTTCTGCGCACGTTTCAAGGCTGGACGGCGTTGACTCCCACTGCACCACGCGAGGGAACTATCATGATCTACCCGAATTTGAAGTATGTGATTGCATACATGCTTCTGCGACCTTTTTTCCAGCCTCCAAAGGATAAGCATGCTGATGTGATGGACCCGGAGACTTGGACGTTGGACGAGGAGACTGGCTGGTTCCCCGGGACGTTCAAGACACAGAGTCAGCGGCTAAGTCGAGTTTCGCATCCGCATCTCAGATTGGAGGAATGCTTGGTTCACATGCCCAAAGTGAGGCCCGGTGATACCGTGTGGTGGCATTGTGATGTAAGTTCTTTTTTGGGGTATCGACTTCTTTCCGCTGTTTTAGGCTGACTGGCTGCGATATCTTAGGTCTGCCATGCAGTTGACACGGAACACTTGGGTAAGGTCAATGCATCTGTCGCCTTCATTGGAGCATGCCCCACCACGCCGATCAATAAGGACTATATCAGGAGGCAGCTGGCTGCCACACTGGAGGGTCGAGCCCCACCCGATTATGCCATAGATGGGGAAACTGACTTGGACGAGAGGAAGTTGAAAGGCTACGTGGGCTTTGATGGCTTGAGCAATGATGCTCGAAGGGCGTTTGGATTCGAGTTGTTATAATGATAGTCTGAGCATTGGGTGACCTGACACAGAATAGATGACAAGGTTCAAAATTTCAAAAGTAATGTCAAGACTTCTCCAAGCTGGTAAGTCTTTCTTGAAGAATTGTTGAAGCGTGATGCGCCAGTGCATTCCTCGACTTGACCTGGTCGAGCAATTCGATGGCGGTATGAACGATTTCACAGTACCCCTCGTCATGACCAGCTTCCCTATCCTGAATTTCGCGAAGAAGAACAAGGGCTGCTGTGAATATTTGGTATGAAAGTGCCCTATGAAAATTTAGCACTTTCAAGTGGTTTCCTGGGTGCATCGATACACTGCTAGAAGGGAGGGCTTACCACTGCTTTCTCATTGAAGACGGCAGACTCCAATTGTTGTTGATCCAGATGATGCTCACGGAAGATCTCACAGTGATTGTTCTCGCCCAATCTGGTCGCTGTTGGTTTGAATTGGACAGCCATTGATCTTGCAGAGCCCGGTTTACCCGAACGCGGAGATGTAAGAGAACTAGCGTTAGATCAAAACGCTGCCAAGTGACCCATGATGCCGCCTTCGTAGAATGACGGGCGTGCTCTTCTTCGTTTCCTACATCCATATCTGGTTGAAGATGGAGGGGTAGAGTGTCGATGATACCTGCGAGCTCCTCATCGGTAGCCCTGATGACTCGAATTGTTTCTTCGAGCGTGTCGAGGCCTATTCGAACGGCTCGGAGGAAGCGGTGCCAAACTGTTGCTGTTCTGGCCATGAAGATGTGGTAGTGCACCGGATGGTCTTGATGAGATATCGTGACGTCTGACGTTGAAGGCGATGGAGCCGTAGGATAAGGTACGTCAAAGTCTACTTCGTCAAACGCAGGCGGGTGATAGGGGAGGCTTAACCTGCAATAATCATGAGTTGAGGCTTATGAGAGGAAAGATCAATCAGAGGCAAAACAAAAGAAGGTATACGTTCATCTTACCATTCACAGATGACTAGGGTCCACCAGAGGCGGTGTTGTGCCTCTTTGCTCAAGTTTTTTGCCGCCAGGTGAGAATATGGCGTATCGAGATGTATTCTCTGGGCGATTCGCAGTGCACAACTCCACATATGCTGCCCTAGATTTGAATTTCCAAAGTTGTTGAAACATATACCAAGGACAGCAATTGCTTGGACGGATCGTATGTGAGGAACTCTCATGAAGTCGGCACGGTGAAGACAAAAGATGGCAGCGTCATACCATATCTGACTTAGCATCTGGTGTCCGAATGCTGTTAGGGGGTTCAGCTTGCGTTTACAGATGTTGAGACTCGCAAAAGGCTCACCCACGCTCTTGGAGAGTCAACTCTTCTGCTTCGTCATCGTCCATCATTAGGAGTGCTGCCTATAGAACCGAACCATCAGCTTATACCTTAAATTGGCGAGGAATATTGTAATACACTAAGCACACTGAAATAGACAGCCATCCAGAATGGGTCAGCCTGATCAAGGGTGGCTCCATTTGCCATCGTTGACGTAAAGTCATTACACTCATGCCGGAACTGTGGATATTCGAGCGCGTAATGAACCCAGGAATTCCATCTTTCATCGTAATCAAGGAGCCGTTCGCTGCATGACTGGCTTGGTAGGACTATATCGCCCCAGCTTGACACGACTGATCTCGACGCTGGAAGATCGGAAGCTAGCCTATCCCACAGCCTTTGCTCAAGCCCATCTACATCTTGGTCGATCCATTGCATTCGTGGCGGCTGGCTGAAGACACGATGCGCCACCCCATTAGGATTTTCTGATCTTGGTAGCCCTGACTGAAGTTGTAAATTCTGTGCCTTTTCATGCCGTAATTGCTCATTTTCGCTTTTCAAATCCTGGTATGTTGGCACTGGTGAAGCGTCTCGATACGTCGTCATTTCCCCCCTGAAGATTACCATCTCACGAACACAAGTCTCAGGATGTCCGCGACGGACGCATGTGCCGCATGGAATGGATTTGTCACATCTTACTTTGCGCGAGGTGCAAGAAGTGCAACTACGCGGAACACGCTGTGTCGTCCTGATTGCAGTGAATCGATCCTGGGACATGGCAATGCCAGAGATTCGCAGCCGGCCGTGGCTATACTTCCCAGACGTGTGATTTAATCTGTATGGCTAAGATTAAGGCTGGATTTCAAGCTGCCCAAGGTGGTGGTGGAGAATGTGGAGATGCTAAGCAGCGAGGGCGCAGTTCATATGACCATGGAATTAGCGCTGCGTGAACTCGTATTTAGCATGGGGTTAGGCCATGCCAAGCTCTACTAGCTAGCTAAGCAAGGTTAACTAAATATTATACTATAAGATTTTATAACATGTTCTAAACCTATTCTAAATATATTCTATACTAGTAATACTATAAGCTACTACTACTATACCTATTACTAATATATCCCTCTTATCCTATATAAGCAGATTAAAATATATTTAGAATATATTCTTAATAGGTTATAGAAGCACTATTAATAGTACCTTACCCTTAGCTATATCCTAGATAATATTAGGGCATAGCCTATAGTTAGCCCTAATAGGGTAGTTAAGATAGAGAGTAGAGAGCGCTACTACTATACTAAGATTAATAATAAGGGCACCTTATATAGAGTAAGAATAGGTTCTAAATATATTCTAAATAGGTTCTAATATTCTTAGGCTATTCTAGGTACTAGGGGCACTCTATATACCTATACTAAAAAAGATTATAGGCTTAATATAGCCTACTATAAGGTTAGTAAGGTTAAGAAGACTAGCTAGCCCTCTATAATAGAGGTCTATAAGGTAAAGAGTAAATATATTATTAACCTATTCTTAACTTATTATACTAATATATATAGACTTTTATATAAAGGTTATATATAATTACTAGAATACTCTTTACTATAAGTTATTTAGAATATATTTAAAATTTATTACTAATATATTTTATAGAAGTTCTCTAAGCCTAGCTAGTAGCTACTATAGGCCCCCCTATAAATACTAATACCCTCCTAAATATAATTTAGAAGAAGACTTATAGTAGCTATAATAATAATAAGGTATAGCCTATAAGAACCTATTAAAAATATATTACTAACTTATTATAGCTTAACTTTATTACTATATCTACCCTACTAAGGATTTAAGGTTATTAGGTTCCTTATACTATCTACGCTTATAATTATCCTAGCTATAGTAAGTTATTTATAATATATTATTAACCTATTCCTAATATATTTTAAGACTATTACTTTAATACTAGTGTAGACCTTGCTAATTCCTGCTAGAATACTGCCTAGTTCTACTTATAGTATACTTTTATAGAGCCTAGGGAGGATAGGGAGGATAGAGAAGATACTAGAGAGGGGGAGGGAGATAATAATAGTAACAAGTAGGAATACGTTAAGAATATATTAAGAATAGGTTCTAATAAATAATATATAATAGTATATAATCTAAAGGGGTAGTAGTAATTACTAAAATAAACTCTCTACTCTTCTCTTTTTTTTTCTATCTACTAAAAGTAAAGTACTATTTACTTTTATAGGGTCCTTTAATAGTATATAACTTTTTCTTTTAACTTTTATAGGTATTATAAAGCTCTAGTAGTCCCTTAAATTAAAGAAGAATCTAGTATTTATAGGTGTCTAGCTATAATATATTATTAATATATTCTAAACATGTTTTAAGAGACTAGACTTATATCTTCTTTTTACTACTTTTGCTAAATATTATTTATAGTATAAAGGGGAGCAACTATTTACTTCTCTTCTTTACTCTCTACTTCCTTTTTAGCCTCTACTCTAGCTACTACTTCTTATTATAGACTAGCTATCTTAGAGGGTTCTTAAACCTTAGAGGAGGCACTTAGTATAGTCTACTCTACTAGTAGAGAATATATTATTAACGTATTTAGAAATACTATTCTTAAGTATTTACTATTAAGCTCCTATAAAAGATCCTTACTTCTATAATACCTTATATTATAGTTCTACTATAGTTTACTAGGGCTATTTAAACCTTAGAATAATACCTCTTAAGGTAGTAAATAAGATTGCCTCTATTAGAGAAGCAACACTAAAATAGTTATTAATATATTATAAACATGTTCTAACTCGCATGTATATATACTCTACAAAGTTCCTATACCCCTAATCTAGCCTAAATAGCCTAGTAGAAAAGCTTGCTAGGAAATACTATACACCTATTATTTAGGTAGGATATTATAGGAGAGAATACCCTAGTATTAGATAGAAGTAACTTAAGCTTAATATATTACTAGTATAAATCCTACTTAGTATTAGAACAAGTTTATAATATATTCCTAACACGTTCTATTATATACTAACTTTAAAAGATCTTTATAGACTATATTAACTAGTTATATCTAATAATATTAGGAAAGATAGATAGTAAAATAGTATTAAACTCTTAAATATAAAAAGTTCTTGTAGAGTGTAAGAAGAAAGAAGAAGAAAGAGAAGAAGAAAGAATATATATTTATCTACTTATATATACTTATATAATAGACTAGAATATATTAAGAACTAGTTAGGAACTAGTTACTATATTTATAAACTAACCCTACCTTATATAAAAAGTAGCTATCTCTTTCTTAAGTTTAAACTGTGCCTTTTATAATTTAAATAGTGCCTTTTTCTATATAAGTTCTTCCTTATCTACCTCTAGCTTTTCTTTTCTCTCCTTTAGAGCCTAATTACTAAGAAGAGCCTTTTATTATAAAGTTTATAGTTATAGACTAATAATAAGTTAGGAACGTGTTATAAATATATTTCGCGAAGCATACCTTTAGGTTACTATTAGTAGAGGAGAAGAGCCTAGTAGTAGAGAAGATAGAAAAGGGGCTAGTAAACTTCTTTCTAATACTACTCTACTACTTGCCCTCTAGCTTTAGGCTTTTAAGCGTGCTCTTTTATTTCTTATTAGGACTAAGATATATCTAGTTAAGTTAGATATAGCAAGACTTGCTTTATTATTATCTAGAGTATTATTATTATTATAAGATATATTCTAAATATATTCTAAACATGTTTTAATTAGCAAATATATATAACGCTAGCGTAAGACTTACTTTCTCCCCTCTAAAGCTTTTTAAGGTACCTTTGCTTAAGCCTATTAGGAGTTCTATAGTTATAGTATATTCTAAACTTGCTCTAGGCTTTAAACTCTTTTATATCCTATAGATCTATCTAGTGTGTACTATATAATATTACTTATATAATTCTAATAGGTTAAGAATAGGTTATAAACTTACTTCTAAGTAGCCTTAAGAATACTTATATACTTACTAGTTTTATATCCTTTCTAGCCTACTTGCTTAGCTATATTTAAATAAGATTCTAGTTTTTCCTATACCTCTTTTAATATTTTACTATAGCATTGCATAATCCTAGTAGTAATTACTAGGTTTTTCTTATAGATTGCCTAGTTTTAGGTATCTTTAGAGGGTTTGTGTTCTAATTATATAAGAACAAGTTAGGAATATATTTAGAATAGGTTTAGAATATATTTACTTATATAAGAGGAGGTTAGTAAGCTAAAAGTATTCCTCTACTATTAATGCCTGTAGTAATTCACTTAGATATAAAGAGGTAGTATTATCTAGCTCTCTTTTATATACTTTATAAATACTTCTTTATAGATATACTTAACAAAATCTTATACAAGATTAAAGTTACTAGCGCTAGTTACGCTTATAGGGATTAATTAACTAGAGATAGCGCCTAAGTCCTAGAAACAAGTTAGAAACACGTTACAAACATGTTACAGTGCGCTATAAAACTTACCTATTATCTACTTATTATATATATTAATAGTAGTCCTATAGAATCCCTATAAGTAAATATACCTCTATAACACTTATCTTTTTATAAGTGCTTTATACTTCTAAAAGAAGTTAGTAATAGCAACTTAATATATCTTAGTTATATCCTTATCTATAATAATTTAGCTAAGTATAATAACTATAACGTGTTAGAAATATATTATAAACCTATTCTTAATACGTACGCTTCTTTTCCTATAGGTAGAAGATTACTATTAGAATCTCTACCTATACCCTATATAACCTCTTATATAACATATCTATCCAGAATATATCTTAATTTAATAGAATTAATACCTACTCTTTAAAAAGGTAAATAATTAAGTTACCTAAGCTTAATATAAAGATTTACTATATATACGCCTATAGTAATATATTAGTAATATATTCTAAACCTATTCTCTTATACTATATATAGTTTTAGGATCCTAATACTTTATCCTCTACTTATAGTGTACTCCTCTAAGGCTACTCTTAAATAGGAACTATAGAAGCTTTTTACGCTTTATAATACGCAAGATTTTATCTTTATTTATAAAGCTAATATATATTTCTTTAATAGAATAGAAACCTTTAAGTTAGAGATAGGTTTAGAGCTAGGTTAAGTTTAGGAACTAGGCTATAATAAGTTAGGAACATATTTATAATAGGTTATAAACAACTTATATTATATAAGCTATAGAGTAAGCATAGGCTATAATACCTTTACTACTTCCTTAATATTACTATTAGATAGTATTAAGGGAGGAGGAGGTATATATATATATATACTAAAAGAAATAATAGTAAAAAAAGGTATTACTACTATATCTATTAGTATAATTACTTAGAAGGTAACTTTATACAGGATTTTAAATAGAGATCCTTGCCCTTATAGATAATTAACGCCTAGAATATATTAGGAATGTGTTAGGAATAGGTTATAATATGCCTACTACACTTCTTTATCTAGCTTAACTATAGCTTAACTATAGAATATAAAGCAGGACTACTAGAAAGATTTAATATCTCCCTAGTTAGAAGACCTTATAGATATATAGAGTCTACCTCTAGTAGTACCTAACTAAAATAATATTTTTTCCTAGTAGTAGATATTAGGCTATAGTTCTAATAGCTAATATATAGTTAAGCCTGTTCTATAATTTACTAACTTATTATTAACACGTTTTAAATATATTTAAGTTTTGCTCCCTACCTAATTTACTATAGTCCTTATTATAGGATAATAAGATACCTAGTAGTCCTTATAAATCCTTAAAGAGAAGCGCTTAATAAGGCTATAATAATAGCTTCTTATTTATAGTTCTCTTTATAGAATTTTCTTAGGTACTATACTTTTTAAGGTTTAGATCTAATTATATAATATATTATTAATAATATAATAAGAACACGTTTATAATATATTCTTAAGATACTTACACGCTTTTACCCTAGAGTATTAGTATTTATACTAGCTTACTAGCTAGCTATTAAAGAATAGTAAAGTTATAGGCCTGTTAAGATAGATAGACTAGCAGGAGTATTATACCTGCTAGAATTAGAATAATTTAAGAACATGTTCTTAACGTGTTACCTATATAGCCTACACAAGCACCTCTTCTCTTATTAGGTAAGAGCTATCTTTATATTGCTAAACTAGTATTATATACCTATACCCTTAGCTATATAATTAAGGGTATACTAGGAGAATAGCTATATACTTAATAATTACTAGTATAAGTAGTAGTCCTTAACTATTACTATAAGTAAGGTATATATTATACCCCTATAACGTGTTACTAACCTATTCTAAACTTATTCTATTTACTTTTACTTACTTCCTTAATACTACTACTACTATCCTTCTTTAGCACTTTATATAGTTACCTAAATTTATCTCTAATATTACTATCTAGTTTAGATATATTATCTAGTACTACTATACTAAACTCTAGTATAGTATTTAGGAATGCCTATATATTATTAAGAATAGGTTTAGAATATATTTAAAAAAGATAGTAATAAAAACTGCGTTTACTTACTTAAATTACCCTAATTTATACTTAACTATAGGCTAGTTTATATAACTATAAAAATTTGCCGCTATAACATAGACTTAAACCTACAGGGATATTCTAACCACTCGGAGTAAAGCCCAAGTCGCCCAACGCTAAACCCATGGTCATATGACATGCCACCACGCAGGCAGCAGCGATAAAGCTCACCCGAAGTCGCCCGAGTCTCAGACTAACTAGCCGTGGCATAGCGCATGTAACCTTATATCTTATAATCGAGGGAGATGCGAGAGATCATTAGGTATACTTCACAAAGTCGTTCAAGGGGTTAGCCGGCTCACACAACCTGACTCTGAGCCTGTTCAAAAACCGTCTCTTATCTGGGACATAAGAAACCCCTTATCCTACAGCAGTACCATCATGACATCAACGCTCGTATTTCAGGGCGCCGCCATTCACTGCAAAGATCCATCGAACCTGGAGATACTCAACGACGCAACTCTCATCATTTCCAACGGCCGCATATCTGCATTTTATGAGTCTAGCAACCATGTTTCCCAGGATGCCATCCCCCCCGATGCCAGAATCCACCGTCTCCCAGTCGGAGACTTCCTCATTCCAGGGTTCGTCGACACGCACAATCATGCGCCCCAATGGCCAATGCGTGGTCGTGGACAGGGCTTGCACATTCTGGACTGGCTGGACCAAGTCACTTTTCCAGTAGAGGCGCGCTACGCCGACAATGCGTATGCTGCTCGGATTTACGAAGACACGGTTGAGGACTTCTTACGCCATGGTATCACGACGGCTTCTTACTTCAGTTCGCGGCATGCTGACGCCACTCGTATCTTGGCTGATATATGTCATCGCAAAGGCCAGCGTGCTTTTATTGGGAAATGCAATATGGACCGCAACGCGCCTGATTACATTCGTGAGACTGACGCTGAAACATCACTCCGCGAGACAGAGGAGTGTATAAAACATGTTCGTAGTCTGCCAAAGCAATCTACAAATGATGCTGGAGCACTCGTTCATCCCATTGTGACGCCACGGTTTGCCATCTCTTGTTCCGAAGAGTTGCTGCGGGGATTGGGCGACCTCTTGAAGCAGGACGAGACACTGGCAATGCAAACGCATTTCAACGAAGCGCAGCAGGAAATTGATGCTACGAGGGCCTTGTTTCCCGAATTCAAAGGAAGCGAGGCTGACCTATACGAGAGCTTTGGCCTTTTAAACCAACGCAGCGTTCTCGCACATTGCACCATCATGTCGGATTACGAGAAAGAGAGGATCAAAACGCTTGGTTGCGGTGTAGCACATTGCCCAATCGCCAACATGACAGTTGGAGGTGGATTCATGGTAGCACCAATACGAGACTTTCTGAGTCGTGGGCTCAAGGTCGGTCTTGGAACGGACAGTGGCGGCGGCTGGGCCTCCCAAATGCTCGCCGTCATCCGACAAGCCATGATTGCCTCTAATGCACAAGAAGTGCTATCGCAAGGAAAAGAAAAGGCTCTCTCTCTCGAAGAGACTTTTTACCTGGCTACAATGGGCGGCGCTAGAGTAATGTGTCTTGACGACCAGATTGGGAACTTTGAAACCGGCAAAGACTTTGACGCGGTTTGGGTGTCGACGACTTCAGGGCTGAAGTCGGCTATGACGCCGAGGGAGGAGGATGACTCGTTGCGAACGGCTTTTGAAAAATTTGTACTTACGGGAGATGATAGGAATATGGCACATGTGTATGTAAGAGGCCGAAGAGTGGCTGGTCATGGGTCGTATCCATGAGTCGGGTGAACATAGACTCGGCTGATGCTGTGCATCTCGTACATTGTGTGGTAACTATGCATTGAGTACTAGGTACTGGAATCTACACTAGGTACCATGCTGGCATGGCAACGTGTCACACCCGTTATGCTCTTCGAACATTCATCAATATTCTTACCTTGCAAGCCTGATCGCTAGATGCGGACCACTGTGCCTACATTCTTGCAAGGATAGGAGTTAGTTTGTCCAACAATCCAAATGATAACATACTATCGTCAACGACTTCCGTGCGGTCAATTCGTCACAAGTAACGTCTAAAGGTCTACAACTGCTATTCTACAGGCACAACTGCTATGCTACAGGCACATGCTTCAAAGACGATAGCTAACAAACCCACAATGGAAAGCGAACCACACGGAATTGTGAGATCACTTAATTGATTATACACTGCTTATATCGGTAAACCATAAGACACTTCTGGCTTCTGAGCGTCTGGAGTGGTACTCGTCTGTTTAGTATTACCGGTAGCGACGTGGCCTATGTTTCTTGGCCAGCCATAGCAGCTTACCGGTATGCGCTAGAGTCATACCTACCTACTGTAGCCAAGGGGCAAAGTAGCGTCACCTTACCCCGGTATGCTTCTCTAATGGACCATACTCTTGTAACGGTACGGCAGCTTCTCACCGCCACGCAAACGACTTGATACTGCCACACTACCACTCATGAGAACAAAGCCTTGTAATCCGTATAATCCTGATCTAGCCTTTCTTCCAATGGTTTTACACACATTCTAGTTACAAACGCGGACCTGCGGCTCTTTTACCGGTACCAAGGACGTACCGGTACTCGATTTCACACAGTTTACGCATCTAATCTCCACCATAGAGATACACACGCAATCCTCTAACGAACAAACAAACCACCAGACTTACTAAAAGCAGTTCTTACCCTTTGTACAAAACACAATGTCCTGGCTCCACTCCCTCCTACCCAAAATCCTCCTCCCAACCTTTAATTACCTGGCCACATCAAGTCCTTGGCTCTGTCAATCTAGCATCATCCATTCCACCAACGCCGCGCCTTCTCCCTCCAAGTATTCGCCAGGCTCTTGGATTCCTTCACAAGTACCTCCGTTCCTTCTCGAGACACTACTGCCGCTGGTGCAGCATCCCCTTTAACAATCAGATCGCCGCGCTTCCCTTTGGACTGGTGTTGAAATGGTCAGACGGCACACGGCTCGAAGAAGTAACAGCCACCTTGATAGCGCGGGCTACGGGCTTTCCGGTGCCAAAGATTGTCTTCTACGCCG